TAGTCTACCCGTTATAGTTCATTATATCTCTAATATAGTCGAAATAGTAGACTATTAAATAATAAATCTAACCCTTATTGTCCTAAAATCTATAAATTTAATTACTTTTAAATAACAATAGTCTAGAAACCAAACATTCAATTTTCGATTAAGATTTACATGAGATGTAAAAGAAGTTTAGTGACAGAGCTCAGTAAGGCTATTAATATATGTCTATCCAATTTATCTTTTTTTATGATCTACATACGGAGATAAATGACTAAGAGGCTAAATGTATTAAGACGTTTACATATATATTTTGTACAAGTCTTCATCAAGTTTTAAATTAATAATTTCACTAAGTATAATCACTTTTGTTGGGAGCTTTTTTTCTCACATATAATTGTTTTTTCTATATGTAATATCGTATTTCATTGCTGTTGAAATCTCTATAGATATCAGAGTAAAAAGGCTAAAGTTATTTTGGATTGTATATTAAATGTCCAACCAAAAGATGCAAACACTGGCGCATCAGAAACACGTGAAGATGTAGTACGTCGTATGGCTATGGATATGCTTGACAAATTACCACCTAATTATATACAATTTGAAGTGAATGAACGTTTGAATCAAATGGGTGCACTACAACCAATGAATATTTTTCTACGTCAAGAATTAAATAGAATACAAAAGTTACTTACAATAATGCGTGAAAATCTTGTTGACTTAAAACTGGCTATTGATGGTACGATTGTAATGAGTGAACAGCTAAGACAAGCACTAGATTGTATGTATGATGCGAGAATACCCAATCAATGGAAAAAGGTATTACTGGATGAATTTCACGCGTCAATTTCCTTTAGTAAAGACTCATCCATATTTATGTAATTCATTATACAGTGTTAAAACAGATAGAACTTTGTATGATTTTCTCTATTCATCGCTTGGGTTGGTCTGAATAGTGTGGACTAGAGACGATTCTCTGTAAAACTAGAGATATTGATGCAGTATCCTAATAAATGGGTATTAGAAGACAATACCTACTTAAAAAAGCACTATTCATTCCATATTACGAGATTACACATATACAAAATAAACGTGGCAGGAACTCATATACTGGAATCAGATTTCGTAGGTCATTTAATAACTTACAAAATTAAGGTCTGACTACCACCAGCCCCTCACTGCTCCCCATATCAAAACATATTATATTTAAGGAACTCTGATTATGGCTAATTTATTCGATAATTAATTTAAATTGTAATAAACTACCCCAGCGGGCGTACATCTTTTTATTTGAGGGGACAACCAACAACGCAACTTGAGGTACTTAGAGAATAGCAGTTAACAAAATTCAAAGTAGTCCGGATAAATCGGAATGACAGTTAAATTTTAAGAATATATTTTATTGAACAAATATGTGAGAGTTGTTGGCATTCCTTTTTTAGTAAGAATGTTGTGTAATGAAAACTGTATTCTTCACCGATGACCGGAACCCATCAACTGATCTGTCAAGTTCACATAACCAGCTTGGGTCATGGGATCGCAGTGCACTGAAGCTAGTGTTTGAAGACATTCATCAGTAGGGCACACTTACAATCTCAACAAAACCTGTACTTGATCTCTTCGAATCCTCGGTAGTCTATGGAAAACAGATAATACCGCTACTTTTTTAACACCTTTGTTGTCTGTAAATGAAGACTTTAAGAATGAGGACCAAGGTGTTTTGTTCGTGATTGTTCTAAATCTGACCAAATGATAGGTAATCTCATTAGTTTCAGATCAACGAGATCTTTTGATATGAACAAACAATATTTGCATTAGTTGCAATTGTCTCTATGTGGCACTCTAGACAATTCTTTTTTCTATGAGACTGGAAACGTGAACTCTACTTATCACCAGGATGCAAGTTATCCTGTTGACACGGGTGAAAAAGTAGTCAGTAGGCATAATTGGGTTTATGTTTGGCTTGACTCTTTCGCTCTTATTTAAACAGTTACACGATATCATTTCTTAGTGAGAGGGCAACAGATGGAAGTATTAAATCTCAGTATAAAAATCAATTAGTAATATCTATATTTCTCTATTTTTTATCCTTAGCTATCATGGGAATCATCTACATTAGGATTTTGGTTTACCGAATTAATTGAAAGGAATCATCAGTTTTATGAATGGTTATACAATGGACGCCCGGTATGTTTTTGGATGACAGGTTTTTTCAATCCACAAGGATTTCTTACAGCAATCAGACAAGAGGTAACACGTAGCCATAAAGGTTGGGCATTGGATACAGTTACATTATGGAATGACGTAACTAGATTTATGAAAGATGATATTCAACGTCCACCGACTGAAGGTGCATATATTCATGGATTATTTTTAGAAGGTGCTGAATTTGACCAAAAGAATTTGCGTCTAACTGAATCGAAACCAAAAATATTATATCAACCAATGCCGGTTATTCATATACAGGCTGTGGATATATCTAAGGACAAAGAGATATCCAAAGAAATGCTGAAAAACTTCTATGTATGTCCAGTGTATAAAAAACCATGTAGAACAAACCTAACCTATGTTACTTCACTTTATTTACGTTGTCCGCCTAACAAATCAGTTGATCATTGGGTATTAAGAGGTGTAGCCTTGTTGTGCGATATAAGATGAACTACTATTTTTCTTATCCTCTATTTCTATTGCTGTTATATTTGTTGATTCTGCGAATTATGATAAATAAACAAGTAGATAAATGTATACAGCCTCATCTTGTTGTGTGTGGCAATAAAAAATCAATTTATACTTCTTTAGAATGAGGAATTAGACTCAATCTTTGTTTTGTATAGAAACAGAACAGAGAATTTTTAACAAATACTTGTTCATATTATTTGATAAAACAAGGTCCCAGAATCGTTTTTCAATGAACAAGTGAGAGGAGTTTGTATAGATCTGGCATCATTTAAATGACTGACAAAGGCCAGGTACTAACTCTACATTCTATTAAATCTTAGCTTGTTTGTACTGAAAAACTTTGATGAGAACAGAATTTTAGACCATGCAATAGTTTAATTAGACATTGGTTGACAAAAAAACTTTTATTTGTTTAAGAAGTTGACACAACTTTCAATTCAATTAAAGGATACAGAGAGAATTCATTAGATGTTGATTTCCTTCATAATTAATAAAGTTTTATCATTTACACATTAAATTTATACGGGGTGATAAAGATAATCCACATATGGTTTTAATATCATATTGATTTTCAATAGAAACATCTCTATGGAACATCGTTTTTCATTAAATAATAAAGTAGTTTACGACTTGAGCATAATTGTACTGGAACAAATGATCAGGAAACTACGTGTAAAATTCTTGGTACCATATAGTAAGTAAATTATACGTATTTGCAGCTATATAGTTTAAGATGTGAGAGGTAGTGAAACTACCCAACTACTCAAACTGAAGTAGAGGGAGCTCACTTCAAACCTGAATGTTTTGGTGGAACGATAGAGGATCTACTGGTTTTAGGTATATAAAATCAACCTATGAGTAGAATACACATTTTAGAAACAGCAACACAAAAATAAGAATATCTAGTTGAAAACGCAGAACTACCTATCTATAAGTTACCTTATAAATCCGATGTAAAATAAACAAAGATAAGCAGGAGACTTTAAATTCTTTTCCGAAACATTTGTGTTCTGCTAACTTGGTCTGCATTATTTAGAAGACAAAATTATCAAAGAATGCATACATCATCTGGTCAAGATAGTGAAGTTAAACAGCCTAGGAAGTTATAATAAACACAAGTAGATTATCACGATCTCATCTTTTTTCCTATAACTAGCAATGTTGCAACTGATTTAGGTACAAGACTTCTAACTAGGTGATAGGTTCTAACGTCACTTTGCTTACTGAACCTCAAACAACCAAGGAGATTATTAGTACTCGCACAATATGGTATGATAATCCTAAGAATGCGATGTGGTCTGCTTGATTGGTATATAAACAGAGTATGCTTGAAATATAACGATTCATATCTCAGAGGCTGAAACTTGCGTTCTGGACTCAATTGGTTGGGCTAGAAAGGGAAGCGAGACCAATCAGAACTATAGGCCGTTCTTAGGTGTTTAAGCGTCTTCGGTCCGATCGATGAGTCACTTCCCTCTAATCTGCAGTCACAGGTTATAACAATTCCCCAATACCCTACATCTAACCTCACTATTACCCGGTGAGCACAGAAGATGCCAGTATTATTTCTAAAACATCTGTTGTCAAATAGTAGTAGCTTACGAGTATCTTCTACTCTTAATGGTCGCGTTTCGCAGCCGTAAAGTAGAACAGATCGAACTGTTGCGCAGTTTACTGGTTCCTTAATTGGTAGACGGATATCTCACCTTCGCCATAGGTGACGTAAGTCAGCAGAAGTCAAACAAGCTTTTCGAATCCGTGCAGAGATTTCGTCAGACACCAACCCATTAGGGCTGACTGAACTTCCAAACAGAACCATGTCATCTACGTATTCTAAGTCCATAAATGGGCCTCCTGACAAAAGATCAATTTCCGGAAATTCAGTCGACGAGAACGTTATTTACAGCGGTGGGTCTATGATAAAGTTGAACAAAAATAGAGATGGTGGACAGGCTTGCCGGACACCACTTGAGGTTGCATAATCAGATGACAGTTCGCCATAAGCTCTGACTCCATTGGTAGTTTTTGAGTAAAGAGCCTTCACAAGGTTAATTTACTTCTGAGATACACCTTTCGTCCAATGACAGACACTGCCACAGAACCACTCATTTGAAGCAACGTATAAATCCTATATCAGACTCAAAAAACATATTTTAGAACTCAAGCTACTTATTCCATTTGAGCATTTACACTGTTCCAAACTATTTTTACAGTATTTTCCGAGGCAAATAATTCAAGTGTATAATCTGAGAAATTCGAATTTCTTAATTTTTGCAAAGTTGTAGGGTCAAAACAATATTGTATTTCTTATAAATGTCATTATTGAGAACAAGGATAACAATTCAAGATATATTTAAAAAGTAATTTTTTCGGGTACTAGATAAAATGTCAATGTACATAATTAAAATTACATTAGTGTCACTTATCCGCCAAGCATATGTTTTATTCTAGACCAGCTTGTAACAGTAACAGCGATCGCACCAACAGCAAACCCAGCAACACCACCAAAGCCGCAACGTTTCCAGCCACCTGGTTTAAACATTCCTAGTGGTTTAAAGAGAATTAATTTAGTTCTTAAAACGATCACATCTGTTTTAAAATGTTTTCTAAAATTACTACTTATCACAATCTACAATTCTGCCTTTCTAATAACGCGAAAAGATTAAAAGGGCAGATGCAGAGGAAATATTCAAACAGTTTAATCTGACACACTAAAACTTATTAAGAAAACAGATATGAAGTTTCGGAAAGTGACGATACTTTTCTCTTAGCATACGATTAATATTTGCCATAACTGTGAAGAATAAAGTAGCACGAGGTTACTGGTTCAGTGTTTAAAGTATTCAACTTGGTCACAGATCCGAAAGTCGTTCCGCTTATTTCAGTTTAGAATGCAAGGAAGTACAAGTGATAGACTAAGTCAAAAAATATGTGTTTTTAATGGCAAATGATAAGTGGGAAATTTTGACGGGTTCATGCCACTTGTCAAGATTTGGTTTAATTAACCGATGGAGACAGATGCTATCGATCGAAAATCTGATTTAACAAACAGAGGGCCATACATACATTAATGACTGAGTTTGTGTATTTATATTGATTCGGGTTGGCTAATAAAAGCTTCCAACTGACTCTTGGTTTTCACGCTCAAGTAGATGATTGGGTTCGTAAATAAGACAAATGACATTACAACACAAAACTACCCAACTACCATTTGGGTGGTAAAGGAATGTAACAGTTGTTGATGAGATCCCCAAATTTAGACGATCAAGTGGTTATAAATTGTGGTCTGGTTTAGTTCGAAATCCCCCATAAGTTCGTTTATTCTATCTTCAGAATTGTAAGCGTTACATGACCTTTTAGTATCTTTCCTTGTAGACTTATTTCTTAATTTAGGGTCAATTTCGGATCATTTCCTTCGTAATGTTCTGATACGTACCAGATGAAACTAATGTATTACGTGAACATTTTCGAATTATTGTGATTACATGATATGCTTACATAATACAAGCTCTGAGGCGAGCCTGTAAATTAGTGGAAACTGCTGGGTCCTAAGCAGATAGGTTGAAAACGGTTACACATAATTTTAAGAAGGAAAACAACTCAATTACAAAATGGTTGGTGTTGAAACTATTAGATAAATACGTTTCACTGACATGTTTTGTCTGAAACCTATGAACTTTCACATCTGATCTGGTGTGGTTTCAACAAATCTTGGCAGCTTATAGTTTGAAGTAAAAGTTATTTCCTAAAATTTCGTTGTAAGAAACGCACTTTCAATTTCTTACAAAATGTCTGTAAATAAACGGAATGTCGTCAATGTATTCAACTGAAGAGAACAACAATAGTTGAACGACGCAATTTCTTGATTATGCACTAAACAAACAAGGTATAGTTATATACATATCTACTATAATGTTTGTTAGCATGGTGTTTCAGAACAAGAGAACCTGGATGAAATGGGTCATTGTTCTCAATTTTATGTCAGCTGGTTAGAACGCCATAATTGGGGATTTAATAACTAGTTGCAAACTATCAGCTGAATTCGCTGGTGACTTCTAGAGTTAGCGTTACAACTACAACGAGTGGTGCTCCGAATTTAATGTGATGTTATTTTCCCAGAAACAATAAGGGTTAGAATGTTATCGCAGACGTCTCTGTGGTACGATGAAAATGACCAAATAAAGCAAGTGACGTATAAAAAGCACCTATCAGCAATAGATTGTTTCAGAAAAAATTATTAATTCGCTTACCAGGAGAAGTATATACTAAACCGGTAGTCGTAGCTGCTGCCATTGTATTTATCTCATCTTCTGCATTACCACGTAATTTGTAGATCAAGAAATCTGCCACAGCATATATAAACCCTATCGAACCTGCAGTCTGAGCAAGTGTTGCTCCGGATTTAGTAAGATGATTCAGCATTTGAGTTCGTCTGATAGCAAGTGTCGGAAGATTCTTTATTTCTGAATCTTTAAAACCGCTGTATAATCCTTTGATCCCCCCAACAGATGCACCTAAACATCACTTATTTGACTGTAGTATAGTTACCCCCAATAACCATAGCTCCGATTTCGGAAAACGATCGCTCAAAGCGACCTCGACGTTTCTCCCCTTCGGGAAAGATGAACTGCTCTTCGGGATTCTGAGAATGAATTTATCAAGTTGATGCTGCTTACCGAGACCAAAATAGATGGGTCAAAATTCAAAAACGGCGAGACGAAAATATTGCGATCTAATTAAACGTTAACTCTGAAATTAACAAAACTACCATCAGAGTTAGAGCTGGCCATTCTGAAGAGTATTTTTCTAGCGGCTACGAGAATGAGGTTTTATGGCCACTCAGAAATAAATAAATACCTGAATGAAAACAAAATTATTACTAGGAAAGATTGTAAATCGTTCCATATAGTGAATAATTTTCCAAAGCATAGGTTACAAGTAAAATGTTTTCTTCAAAACTACACTTACAGAACAAGCACATAATACAAAATGTTAAAATTGTTCGTCACTTTCAGCATCTATTACTCTCATTTAGGAGGGGTTAGACCTAAACGAAAAAAGGAATGTTGGTTATGAATAACTTAAATACCCCACTTCAGCTGACAGATAAATTCTTTTTAATGTCCATAAGTCGGTTAGGATGGTATGAGGTGGAATCAATCAAGATTTATTCACGTGCACATAATCATTCTTAGCTTAACTTCCACTCAAGTAATTGAAAATCCTTCTAAATCTACAGCTACATTATTATAATCTACTTTCTTAAAAAGTTTAACAAACAGATTTGTCGACATAAAACTTAGTACGAAGTGAAATAAAGACAAAAAAAGTTATGAAGAATTAAGAAGCCTTAAAATCTGGGGGAAAAACAAAGAATGGGTATACCTCCACCAACACAGGTCAGCAATCGTATTGTTTCTTGATACCAAGGCTGACTTCGATTCGTTGGATAGGACTGTTCTCTGGGATTGTCTATTGAAGAAGGGTGTATCTGAGAAATTTATTAACATCTTAAAAGCCCCATATACAAACACCTCAGGCAGAGTGAGGGCATACAACCATCTCTCCATTGTTCCATTCGAGCAGTGGGGTTAGGCAGGGTTGTCCAATCTCACCATTCCTTTTCAACTTTGCCAATGATGACATTCTGGGGACAGCTCTGATGAATGTAAGTAATGGCGGTGTGGATCTGTTGCTTGAAGAAAGACTTCTCGATCTTGAGTATGCGGATGATATTGTCTTACTGTGTGATCATACCCAAGCCGTGCAATCCTCGCTTCATCAGTTGGTAATAAGTGTCGGTAAGTATGGTATGTGCTTCGCACTTCCTATGTGCAAGACTGGCAGGACCCTGAAGCTGCGCTCACCCTGGGCAGTGAGCAGATAGTAGTCGAGAAGTTCGTGTATCTGGGTAGCTGCATAAGTGCTAGTGGTGGCGTAAGTGATGAGATCAATGCACGTATAGTGAAAGCCAGAGCGGTTTATGCCAATCTGGTCCATCTTTGGCGCCTTCGTGATGTTAGTCTGGCTGTAAACGGTCGGATCTACAACGCGTCGGTGAGAGCAGTTCTGCTCTATGCTTGTGAAACCTGGCCTCTCCGAGTCGAAGATGTTAAACAACTCTCTGTGTTTGATCATCGTTGTCTCCGAAGGATTGTTGACAGCCAGTGGCAACATCATGTTAGTAATGCAGAAATTCAGCATCATGTGTTCGGGCACAGAGACGATAATCCAATTGGTGTCACTATCTTGAAACATCGACTTCAGTGGCTTTGACATGTTCTTCGAGTGTCGTACCAGAGAATTCCACGTCGTGTATTACTTGACGACGCTGAGACTGGTCGGAAAAAGCGGAGAGGTTGTCAGTGTACGACATGGTGTCGTGGTGTGAAAGAAAGCTGTACGGGACTGGCTCCTGTTTGTCCCTCACGAATCTCTGGTTAGGATCCTAGAGATGGTGCAACACAGTGGCTAGAGACGTTATTAGATATGGCTCAGAATAAAAGCCCGTGGCGATTCTGCTGTAACTATTTTACTTTCTTCATAAAAAATGACGTAAGTGGAAGAATTCTCTGCGGCAGCACTTTCGCTATTTGAGCTGACCCTCCCATTATTGTTATTTTACTATCATACACTGATCTCTGTTCATTGTTGTACTTCTTTTTTCTTATACGCACCTTACATTCTTTGTATCTTCACATTCATTATTGTGTAGCACCTATATATATGGTGCCCCTTTGTACCAATATTTATGTGTTCAAATAAATAAATAATAAAATTGCAAACGATTCTGAGTCATGCCATTCGGTCTCTAACCATCGGTTACGATAGTCATGCGGACCCTAACCAGGTGGTCTACACTTGTTACCATAGTTCAGTCCAATTATCAGTGAGTTCATAAACTTGTGTCATGTTTCGGTTTAGCCACCCTTAACTTATCTCCACCCTACCCCTACACCAGACAATACCTTTGGAAGTAGGTGACGGTTAGTTATACGCAACATTCACCACCATCAGTCGACTCTCCATCCCTACCTAATGCCTTATGGTTAAACCCGGCACTGCTAACTCATTGGTCTTAAAATGCACGAGGCATGCTTTGAAGACACTTATAATCGAAAACCAGTCACCTACGTACATCCGCCATTCTTACTGGTAATGTTTCATACCCGCAAAGTAGAACGGAGCGAACTCATCCCTTGGTCGGAACACGGATATTTTGCCTACGCTGCAAGTGACACAAGTTGGCAAAGGTAACCGGGCTTTCTGAATTCGAGCCGAGATTCCGCCAGACATCAGCACTGACAGGGCTTCCAAATAAAGGGGTTGACACGCCAAGCTTTAACTTAGGCGCTGATGAAGGCCAGTTCTGAAGCAATACTTAGCATTTGGAAGATGAGAATTCCATCCCAAACACGCTTGTACTGTTGTCTAAGGTAGTCAGAGCCTTCACTAAACAGAAATTAAGAACACGGAACGGGAAGCGATAATAATTGACGTGATGAAAAGTCCACACGCATGTCTGGGTGCACTGCATTGCCAAGAGTACAGGTTAGTGCAAGCAATAAGAATCTCGTGATAAAATACTAGTGACCCCTAACACCTCCAAATCACAAAAACTATATGAAAACGCAACCATAAAAGAGAAACATTGTTAACAATTTTACTTAGCACTAACCAAAATAGTACAAAAAATCAGACGTACGAATATAGTTCAGATTGTTATATACAAAATGCCATAGAGGACCAATGACTAAGAATAAGCGAATCTGAACTATTGTGATTTCGTGCTACACCAAAATGAAACTGCCACATCATTAGTTCTATCCTTCTAGAGATACCATCTCAATATTACGCTTTTATACACATTTCTGACATTTATTCGGTGGTCCTATGAACAAATATCGTCCCTCGACCTGATCGATCACATATTGCGATTTGTAAACTTAGTGATCAGACTGCTGTTACATAGGTTCTATCATCCTACTAAGGAACGTAAAGTATTTTACGAATACACATGTATTCGAAGGTTTTCAAGAGCGATGGAAACTTTATGAAGACTAAAAAGGAAACCCACTAACTCAAGCATGGCCTGAATCTGAAACAATGAAATATCAAGAAAGGAGCTATATGCGCTAAACTAAATGTCATTTAGGCATAGCAATAAATCTTCAGCAGTATGGATAGGTCTATTGACCCATATTAATCCTTGCTAAATGAACTTAAAAGGACTACCTTAGCCTGATTTACTAACTAACAAACACATTCTCGTTTCCATAGGGGTGGATAATGCACAACAAAATCATGAAAACAAGATACGCAACAACCTCACGTTGGTACAAAGTTAAAAGTAACTCATTTGAAGGGACAATGTCCAATATGTAAATGTCACGTTCAAATTGTTCAAATGGTTGTGGACGGAATAGAAGAAGCTTTCGCTTAACAGGCTTCCGTGTCTAGTAGCAGGGGATCACCAAATCCTCCAGGCAGGAACCTAGGTATGTTAACAATAAAAGAGGAAAAGAAATTGGTAAATCATAGTGTGATGCTGTCCTTGGTCCTTAAGAATAGGTCAAGTTGCCTCTTGAAGGACTCCTGAGAAGTCGCTTGGACTGGCTCGGCCGGCAGCGAGTTCCAGCTTTTGACAACTCTTAAGGAGTAGAAGTTGTGTCTACATTCCGTCTTGCTATGTTGTGTTTCCAGTTTCTGGGTGTTACCACTTAGGTTATTATTCGAACTAAGCTTCAGTAGGTGTTTAAGAGGATCCCAGAAGTGTTAAGAATACTATAAGCCATTAATAAATCACCTCTAAGACGCCTATATTCTAGTGGGTAAAGGTCTAGTGAACGGAGGCGTTCTTCGTAAGGCTTAGATTTGAGTCCTCGAACTGATTTCGTGGCTCGCCGTTGGATACGCTCCAAAGTGACCTTGTCCTTTTGGAGTGAGGGGGGAGTACTATGTTTCCGTACTCTAAATGGGGACGGATGAAACTATTGAAAATTGTGTGGAAAGTTCTTCCGTCAAACTGGCCAAAAATGCGCCTCAACGTTACCAGTGGAAGGTTTGCTCGGAAGGCATTTTTGTCACAGTTAGCGTAAGACTTTAAGTCATGGGGCACCAGGACTCCTAAATCTTTTTCGACTTGGGATACTACTAGAGAGGAGTTTCCTAAGTTGTAACTGTAGTTTGCGACATGTCGCAGATGGACTACTTTACACTTTGAAGTGTTAAAGGTAAGTCCGTTATCGTCTGCCCAACTTTGAACTCGAGTCAGATCCTCCTGAAGTGCCTGGATATCGTCTTGGGTGCGTATCTCTCTCCAAAGTTTCACGTCGTCGGCAAAAAGTAATAAGTCTGACGTTACCTGTTGAGGAAGATCATTTATGTAGATCAAGAAGAGAAGAGGCTCTAGTACTGAGCCCTGGGGGACCCCACTAGGACATTTCATAGCTTGAGATAAAGTGAAATTAACCCTAACCTAAAGTGTCGATATTTTAGGTATGAAGTAAGCCAATGGATTAGAGGTGGTTTGATACCTAGTCGTTTGAGCTTATTGATTTGACATACATGGTTGACTATCAAAAGCTTTTGAGAAGTCGTGGTAAATGATGTCAACCTTCCCCTTGAGACCAAGGATCCATGTTGATCTGTCCACCGCAGTCAGCAGGTAGGCTATACAAGAACGACCCTTCCTCAAGCCATATTGTTGGGGTGAGAAGAAATTTAAGGACAGTAAATAGTCATATATATCATCGCATATCAGGGACTCCATGAGTTTTGAAGGTATAGAGAGAAGAGCCACCGGTTGGTAGCTTGAAGGTTCGCTGCGTCGACCTCCTTTGAAAATTGGTGTGATGTGAGCAGCCTCCAAAATTCCGGTAGTTTGCTTCCACTTAGCGAGTGTGAGAACATCACGCTAAGCGGTGATGCCAGGACTGAATCTGCTTCCCGCAGTGTAGCAGAATGAACCATATATGGGCCAGGTGAAGTGTCTTTTCTTAGGTGCTGCGGTTTCCGGGACACAAAGTCAGCGCTTAGGTTCACTTCAGAAAGTCCTGTGGAATTGCAGATGAAACTGTCGTCAATAAAGTTGGTGTCAGCCGGTTGAAATGTTTGAGAGTAATGGGCCGCCCGAAGGTTAGCGGCGTCGCCATCATTGTTGGTCGGGCCGTTAAGACCTAGCAGTTGAGAAACTCCTGTTTTGGCTTGACGAAGAGAGGTTGCGTAACGGAATAGGCTTCTAGGGTTAGAGGCGAATTTGTCCATAAGCTTTGTTTGGTACTGAAGCCTGTCTTCTCTTATAGCCTTCGTGCATATGTTCCTGATATGTTTATATTGCCTATACGCTCCATCGTTATTAGTTCGTTTGTATTCCGCCCAACAGTGTCTTTTGCGGCTTAGCAGGCAAAGGGTACGGTTCTTGATTACTGTAGGTGGCTTGCAGCTTTTGGGAACCGTTTGAGGAACTGAATGGTCTGTAGCACATAAGAGCGTGTGCAGTAAGAAGTCCCAATGACCATCCACATCGAGTTGAGGGTGAACATCCCAAACCACCTGTTGTAGATAGTCATGTAGAGCTGACACATTCAGCCGTTTAAAATTCCAACGCAAATTATTGTTGGGATACCTTAGCTTAGTTTTGATGACAAAACTGAAGGCTATGACGGCATGATCGCTCTTTCCCAGAGGAGCCAGGATTGAGAGGTTGTCGACTAGGAATTCTTCGTTAGTGAATACACAGTCTAAGCGCGATGGTGTCTGACTGTTTCTCCAACGAGTTGCCGACCTCACATTTTCATTTAAGCCCAAGTTATCGATGAGGTTGAAGAACCGAGCTTCAGTTGAGTTTTCGCCTCGATCAGTCAAATTTTCTCTCGCCTGTATTGTTGCTTAAGTATTTTTTAGATCTTAAGTGATATCTAATATTGTGTTAGTTGTTGTTTTATCAATAAAGTCCCGATAAATCTAGTGATGAAAAGCTAGGTGAGTGGCATAATTTCTAATGACAATTGTTCGGACACTGGAAAGTCACTCATTCACTTAATGCCTGTTAAAAGGTAATGAAAGGTAAGGTAAAGCATTAACTTTGCTGACGCTCGGATTTCATTGGTCTGACATCATGATGCCAAGGTACAGACGTTGGTTGCGAACTGGAATCCATATGCACCCGGATAGACCACATGACGCCAGGATCAAGTGCAAAGGCAAGTTGAAGCTGACCATTCCACTTGTGGACTGTTTTGATCATACAAAAACGTGCAAAGGTCAGGGACTATCAACTCGGAAAGTCTTGTATAGGTAGGCTACCTATCTATTCACATGAGGCTCATACAGACGAACAGGAAGGAGGAACTCACGCGCTTCAAATTGAAAGCATGAACTGCTTGTACATGAGCGCCGCGAGTTTAACAAATAAAATAGATGGGCTAAGTGAAATTAGCAATCCTAATAATGCTTATGTCATAGTAATATCTGAAACTTTGATATCACAGTTTACTGACCAGGAGCTAGCAATACCTGGTATGTCTTTGTTTCGCAATGACAGAAAGACATACATATATTGGAGGTGAAAACTCAACCGAAGCCCGGTTTTTCAACCTCACTGAGGATCTGGTGTTATACGAAAATGTGAAGTCGGCAACTAGTTGGTGAAACAGTCAGACGCCGTCGCGCTTAAACTGGGTATTTACAAACGATGAATCCCTAGTTGACAACCTCTCAATTCTGGCTCCCCTGGGAAAAAGCGATCACGCCGTCATAACTTTCAGTTTTGTTAACAAAACTGAGCTAAGATATCCCACCTTCAACAGGCAATGGAAGTTCAAACGGTTGGAGGTGTCAGCTCTACAGGACTATCTAAAACAGGTGGGTCGGGATGTTCACGCTCAACTTGATGTGGATACTCATTGAAATTTCTCACTGCACACGCTCCAGTGTGCTAGAAAGCAGTCTGTTCTTCAAAGGGTTCCCAAAATCTACAAGCAACCTACAATCATCAAGAACAGCACTCTTCGTCGGGCAGAATACAAACGAACTGATAACAACGGCGCGAACGGTCAATACAAAAATATAAGGAACAAATGCACGAAGGCTATAAGAGAAGACAGGCCTCATTGTCAGATTAAGCTTATGCATAAATTTGTCTCCAATACGGTAAACTTATTCCGTTATGCAGACTCTCTTCGACAAGTCAAAACTGGAGTTTCCCAACTGCTAGGTCTTAGTGGCCCGACAAAAAACGATGACGACGCCGCTAACCTTTTGGCTGAACAATACTCTCGGACATTTCAACCGACCCACATCAACTATATTGATGAAAGCTTCATCTGCAACTGCACAGGACTTTCTGATGTAAACCTGAGCTCTGACTTGGTGTCCCGGAAACCGCAGCACCTAAGAAAAGACACTTCACCTGGCCCATATATGGTTCATTCTGCTACACTGCGGGAAGCAGATTCAGTCCTGGCATCACCGCTTAGCGTGATGTTCTCACACTCGCTAAGTGGAAGCAAACTACCGGAATTTTGGAGGCTGCTCACATCACACCAATTTTCAAAGGAGGTCGACGCAGCGAACCTTCAAGCTACCAACCGGTGGCTCTTCTCTCTATACCTTCAAAACTCATGGAGTCCCTGATATGCGATGATATATATGACTATTTACTGTCCTTAAATTTCTTCTCACCCCAACAATATGGCTTGAGGAAGGGTCGTTCTTGTATAGCCTACCTGCTGACTGCGGTGGACAGATCAACATGGATCCTTGGTCTCAAGGGGAAGGTTGACATCATTTACCACGACTTCTCAAAAGCTTTTGATAGTCAACCATGTATGTCAAATCAATAAGCTCAAACGACTGGGTATCAGATCACCTATGACTGACTCACTTCATATCTGAAAAATTGACATTTTAAGGTCAGGGTTAACTTCACTTTCTCTCAGGCTATGAAATGTTTTACTGGACACACCCCAGTTGATGGCGTTCGATCACGCATTCTCACTAGATCATGAGTGAGTACAGTGCTAGAAATTTCTTGCAACCTCTAGCCAGCATAGATCAAACTCTTCTCTACATATCGACAACTTTCTAAATAGGTCTTCGAACCTTTTCATTTCTGACTCCTGATTTGACTGGATTATTATAGTTTGATTATTAACTTGTTACGTGTAAGATCAGTGTCAAATTTCAAGTACCTGTTGCATCTTTAATGGTGGACCCGACTTCTCTTGGTACAGATATGACCGAGCGTCTACACTTAATGTGTGTCCAGTACAACTAGTTGAGCCAGCATCAATATCGAAGACTTACAGAACTATTTGTAATGGGGATTTCTTTACTACTACGGATGT